ATGAATACGAATTTATTATGAACATGAAATCTTCCTCCCCTATTAATGTTTCAAAATTATTTCGGAAAATAACGATATTATTTCATTTTGGAATTAATTAAAAACTGCCGGCTGATTACAATAAACAGGTTTCTGGACGCCGTTAAAATCCGTCGAATAAGCGACATTGAATGGACACACAATAATAGTTTGCCCTTTATGCACTTTCAGTAATGGAATGTAGAGAAATATTAATTCAATTTCCAACTAAAAGGAAAAATAATAACTCATTGTTTTGTTTACAACTTATCAGAATATGGACACATACAAACACCCATTTATATACGTACATATTTTATCTAATTTCGGTTTCAGTGCTTCTTCACGCTTCTTTTCTTTGTGGGCCACAACCTTTTTCTGGAGATTTTTAAATTTCTTCGATTTTGTTACAGTTTCTCATTGACCATTATTGTTGTTGGACATCTTTGAAGTAGATTGGAATTTATAATTATGGAATGCAATAGAAATGTATCGGAAAAAAAAACTTAAGAAATGCACTTGACTATGGGTTCAAAAACAACTGTTTTGTATCCGACCATCTGTTAAATTTTATCTAATAATATTTCTCATGGTTGGCAACATTGCACATTGAATTCAAGTAGAATTTACCCATTTTGTCAGTTAATCGTGCCATGGTATAAACTATGCACTTTGACAGTTAATCGGATAGTTAGCTGCGCTAAATGGAGTTCCAATTTATTGTGCCATGAGTTCATGCAACACTGGTTTTTGCACACAAATCATACTACATTTAGGCTATAGCTTTTATCGTGATAATGTACATATATTATCTCGATTTACATATAATAATATGTCAATTTGCTTCAAAATTTCAAAATCGCTCTCAGAGTATCAAAAAATTTCAAAAATTCGTGAACGCAAATCTAGTAAATATGCCAAAATTAGATGGCAATACTTCCAAATTAAAATAATTTCAGTTTTCTTAAATTTGGTTCAATGTTTTACCAGTTTTGTGGGTTCAGGAACGGTTTTCGAGTAAAAAGTTGCAAAACTTGTAAAATTAGTAGATTCCCTTAGGTTCTGGAACGGAGCTAAAATAAAAACGACGACTGAAAAAATTGAAAAACGTTCCACCTGCTAACGAATGGGAGGAGAAGACAAAATGGACGATAAAGATGAACTCAAAATGGTATAACCGAAAGTTTACGAATGAGGTGGGATGGAGACTAATCGATTTATCGAATTTTTGCATTGAAAAGTCAAAAAGTCGAAGTCTACTTTTGATCTTTGAGGAAATCGTAAAGTCGATTTTTCAAGATCGACTTTCGAATTTCATTATAAATACTTGTGGTCTGTTCCCGTATTGCAAGAATCTACTACTTTTTACTACGATAACAAAATTTCCTTTATGATATCGACAAAAATAGTAAAAACTAGTAGATTCTTGCAGTACGGGAACAGACCATCGATTTATTACAGCAAACCCTTTTTTTAAAAATTGTCCATTCCAGAACACAACAAAATTTATATAAAAAAATCAAATTTTAATCGATTTTGGATCAGCTTACCGGTAGCAGTTGGACATTGAACATCAGCTAGAATGCTGAGAATTCCAAACCTCCTCTTGTTATCCTGAGGATCATGGTTCGCTAGTTTTTCTTTTAGCTCAGAAATGCCGATGTTTTTTTTCATTTATTTATTTATTTTATTTCATTCATAATACAAAAGCCTGCTGGGCCTATTTACTGTAGTAAAAGCATTATTAAAAACCTGATAGTCTAAAATACATTTTTTATTTACAAGTTTAATGGTGAGATTGCACTATCAAAGCACACGCTCTTGCGTTCATGACGAATCAACACAATATTAATATTTATTGTTTGCAGTTGTAGCTACCACATAAAAATCCAAAGATACAGGCATCATTCATACACACTGATGCAAATTGGATGTCCACCAAGTTGCAAATTTTCATTAATATTATAAATAAAATTTTTATTTTCTTTCAAGCAATCATTTTAATTTAATTTTTGGATCAGCCAAACACAAATTATTCAAAACATTTTTTTAATTTGCAAAGTTCAATTTGAAATTACTTACTCAGCGTGGTTTTACATTTATCGGGATAAATGTGCCAAAACAAAAATTAGATTTTTTTATTATTCGTGAATACATATACGCTTAAATTATAACATATATTATTTATGCAAATAACTGGTATAAATATTGGCCAATATTTCTCGATAATTATGATTTATTATCATTTGAAGTACAATTTTAGCTACCTTTTCGTACTTTTTTGTTCCTAACTGTGGTAATGTTTTCCAACACAATTCACAATTTACCACTGAGAGAGAGAAATTCTCAACACCGATCCCGATAAATGTAAAACCACGCTTAGCTGGCTTGTTACAGAACGGTTGTTCCACAAGCCGAGCTTAAAAAAGATTTCCAACCGCGTCGGTCTTGTGCGCATCACCTCCAATTTAAAAGACCTTCTAAGATGTTGTTTTCTACTTGGTCTTTCCATCTAATTCGTGGCCTTCCCCTTCTACGGGAACCATCAGTAGGCTCGCTTTTATATGCCTTTTGAGCTGGGACATTCTCATTCAATTTGAAATAAAGTTGTATAAAAATTACAGAAAATGGAGGAAAATTCGTAAGTAATGCAAAGTTTCATTAAATTAGAAACTAATTCTTTATATTATTAGACAAGTTCCAGAAAGAGGGCAATGTATTGATGCAGGAAGCTTAATTGTTCCCGGGGAACATACCAAATCAATTTTCTTTTATTGTTCATTTTATTTTTAATATTAAATGCAATACAAATAATTGTGTTCTTCCTTTGTTTGTTTCTTTGTTTTAGCGCAAATAAAAATGTTTTTTTTTTTTTTTGAATCCGCTGTTTATTTGCTGAATCTTACTAAATGCTGTCTGTTTACTTTTCTCAGTATTATTGCAAAAGAGAGTAAAAACGGCTTACTCTCTGAACTAGAACTTACTGCGTAAATGTTACAGGAAAAGTAACCAGACACACCATATGTTGAATTTATACAGCATTATTCTGGATATTCGCTAGCGAGATTTCTAGCATGTAAACAATTTTTCGCTTTCACATTCTCGCCTTATTCTGGACGTCAATTCCACGTGAATGTACTAATCTTATTCTGAATGAAGTTCGAAAGCGAAAAAATCCGCTTTGGGGAAAAATTGGTTATTCTGGATTACAGGGACTAGGAGAATGAGATGACATTTTGTGCGAAATGCAAAGGGAGCTGACTACAAAAACATAAGTAATAAATATTTTTATGAAAAATATTTACACAATACTTATTCTATGACGGGTTAGAATATTATAAATGATTGTATGCAAATTTTTAACCGGAAAACAACAAATAAAATGCCATTGGAAATCCTATTGATTACGATGCATGCTCAACCAATTATTGCCGCGGAATGTATAAAGGTAATAAAGAATGTTTGAGCCGAGTTTAATGGATTTTGGAGGCGAAATAAAGACATTGAGGATCTGTCCCTCACACATATATACAGTGGTGGTCACAGAATTAAAACTACTGTGGTAAACATTTTTTTAATCAGCCCTCGATTCGTTTGAAGTATTTTTGAATATTTTTTAATTCAGAACATTTTGATATACTGCACGTAAGAGATTTAGTGTGAAAATAGAAAATTATTGCATGCTATTTTTCCATAAATAACGGGTTTTATGAAAAAACATCGACTTTGATGTGGCCATATAATTAAAACATTGGGTGATTTTTTAATTTACTACATTTTTTGAAAATATTTTTAAAAAAAGCTCTTTAATTTAGTTAAATTATGTAAACTAAGCACCGATAAAATCATTTACAGGTAAAAATTTTTGAAAAAATCTGTAAAATCTATCCAAATTTCAAAAAATTTGTACTGTACACCTTACATTCAGAAAATAACTCTTATTATAGAAAATAAAGGTCCGAATGCACCAGAAATTGCTAGAATTAGTAGAAAACAATAAATAATTCTCAAAATAAATAAATATTTGAAATAAAAACTCAAAAATGGGAATTAACCTAAAAGAACGATTCAATTTCGATAGCATTTATTGAAGAAGGCCGGAATGTTCTTGCAGTATGTGAGGAAATATCGATTGATATTGGCATTTATTATATCAAATCGATTGTTCGAGTAGTACAGAATATATTTTATCAAAAAATATATAAGTCACAACATAACGAACAGAGATCAACACCTATGTTGACGAGAAAACGTTTCTGGTACACAGCAGCATGTTTGAAATTTAAATAACAAAAAAGTAACAATTTTTAATAAAAAAATCAATAAATAAAATGTTGAAAAATATTACAAAATTAAATTACAATGGGGCAACACACATTGCAACTTAAATTACAATATGACAACACACATTACAAATTAAATTACAGTATGGCAACACGAATCTTTTTTTTTCAACCACCATTTTTGAAAATTCGAATCCACATCTCCCATTCTTTGCTTCTCCCTATTCATTTAGAATAAAGCGAGAATGTGAAAGCGAAAATTTTTTACATGCGAGATATCTCCCTAGCGAATATCCAGAATAGGCTGCACATTCCCAACTCGATTTAGAAAAGAAAACTTGACAATTCATTAATTTTTCGCGTTTTTAGTAATATTTTAAATCTATGTCAAATTAACAGAACGACTTGTTGTATTTGTTTTTATTTATTCTGACATTATAGCCCACTTGCGCATCAATTAATCATGAACTCCGTGTATGGTCTGCGTAAGAAAAATTAGCTGTTTATTTGGTATTACTTTACGTTACTGCATACACTAATTTGTAAAAGTACGCCGTTGGCGACTATTTTATCACGGCTTCAATGTCTGTCATGTCACACTACTGGACTTTGTTTTGGATTTAGAAGGCTTACAAAGTAAACCTTTCCAACTTACAACATAATAATAATAATTACGATTTAAACTCCATACATAACAAAATGCCTGCCGATGTAATTGGTTATTTGTATGCAGCAACAGTTGCTGCTGGCGGAATTATGGGCTTTGTCAAAGCCGGTTTGTTGTCCGCATTTATCTAGATCAGACACGTAACGACAACAAAAAATCTCTTGTTTTAGGTTCCGTTCCTTCGTTGGGAGCTGGTCTCGCTTTTGGAGCTATATTAGGATTGGGAGCACATTTCAATTCACAGGAACCACCACGTCCCCTATTGCAATTCGGTACATCGCTTGTTTTGGCTGGCGTTATGGGTGCACGATTCCACAAGTCGGGAAAAATGATGCCAGCCGGCATGATTTGTCTGATTTCGATTGCAGCATTAGTACGCAATGTTGTGACATATAATCGTTACTTGCCACTTCCAGGAAGGAATTAAATGATGTACTTTATTTAAATATGTATACTATGGTTAAGAAGTTCATGACATTTAAACACACGCTACCCAGAAGAACAAAAGGAATAAAAAGTCGTCTATTTTATTAAAAGTAGAAATGTGGACATTTATTTATCGGTAACTAATGGATTTTTTCTTTAAGTTTCTAATCGTATTTACAATACGGATGTCAATTGAGATAACCAGCCTTATTCTGGATATTTGCTAGGGAGATATCTCGCATGTAGAAAATTTTCGCTTTCACATTCTCGCCTTATTCTGAATGAATAGGGAGATGCAAAAAATGCGAGATGCTGATTCGAGTTTTCGAAAATGGTGGTTGAAAAAAAGATTCGTGTTGCCATGTCGTAAATTAAGTTGCAATGTGTGTGGCCATATTGTAATTTAAGTTGCAATGTGTGTTGCCCCATTGTAATTTAATTGTGTAACATTTTTCAATATATTATTTATTGATTTTTGTTATTAAAAATTGTTACTTTTTTTCACTACATAATTGTGTGCCTTTTTATTTAATTTTTATATTTTATCTCCCCAAATTCTTAAAGTGGTCAGTTATGTTATGATTTGCTCCTACTCCTTTATTTCTTGCTTCAAATCATGCACACGATAATTTTGAAAAAAAATATTTTTTGTTCTTTCATCATTTTTATTTCAGTTTTTCACTGTTAAGCGGCTCATCAGGCAAATTTGGTTTTTCCATAATTTTTAAAATTGTTTTCTTGAGAGACAGATCCTCACCCAAATGTCTGTATTTCGCCTCCAAAATGCATCAAACTCGACTTAAATATTCCTTATTACCTTCATACATTCTTTGGCAATACTTGGTTCAGCATGCATCGTTATCAATAGGATTTCCAATGGCATTTTATTGGCTGTTTTCCAGTTA